TTTACCTCGTTTCGAGCGAGTTATTAGATTTTGGGTATCAAGTACCAATTATGGCAGTTTTTCCTTTTTTTTGCACTTGTACTTTTTCTGCCCTTTTAAGATGGATTGAATTATCAAAAAGCTCTTTATGAGTTGATAAGAGCACAATAGTTATGTATTTTAGGCTTATTAGGTTAGTAGTAGAGCTTGTAAAAAATAAATAAAGATTAATCAAACGGATTTGGGATTATCTGAAAGGGTTTTGCCCAATAAATGCTTGTGCAGTCGCTACAAATAACTTTGGAAGACTGTAGCCAATCAGAGTTGAGGTAGTGAAGTTGCATGGTAACGAGTAGAGATGTTGATATGGATGAGGGATTTGGTGATACCAATGTTGATGATGGTTACGTTTATGAGGTCGACTTGATTAAGGAAGAGGTGGTTTCTATTTTCATTATTCAAAGTCTTTATTGTCAATGCGTTTTTCATAAATACGAGTTTCTGAAAAATTTGAAAGTATAGATTTGATCATTTAAAAGTGAAGTTTATACTGTGGCTTATGACAATCTGGGATCTTCCGTTGCTACAAGTTTATATGTTCGCTACACCCAAATCATTCTGAAACTTATCATTCTACCTATTTACTTTCTTAATACAGTGTACATTCTATTAGTGAGTAGCGTAGAGACGCACGGCGCATTTAGCAGTCTTAGGCGGTTTGGTTGATCGTTATGTGCAAAAGTGGATGAAGTGCATCGATCGCAATGGTCTCACGTGCCAGTTCCGTAATATAGACTATACCGGCTATCCTAAATCTCCTACTTTGAGATATGCGACCATATTGAGATCTTGTGACATTATCAAGATTTTCTTTATCAGCCATATTGTCGCGATTACAAATGCAGTATCATGGTAATTCTACATGATTACAGTATGAGTACTATAAGAGGAAAGAGAGGGAACGGAAGGACGATGGTGATCTTAGTGGTAAGTTTGTGAAACAATCAGCTTCTGTTTATCGATTTCGTTATTTATATTCCAGACAATGATTCCGCTATCGATAGCGCTCGAATCTGGAATCTTCCGGTACCTCTCGCACAGGAAAATTCGCCAAGGAAAAACACTAAAATATGCACTGTTTCCCAGAGAGCAATAATCTTGAAAAACTTGCATAAAGTCGAACTACTTAGATATCGAGCTTGGTAGGCATAAACAATACAATTAGTGCGTCATCTCCTCCTTATTTATTCAAACGGCCTTTCGTCATTTAAGTGCCGAACAGTACATCTTGAACAAAGACCGGCTCTTGTTTCATCTACTAGAGTTCATCGATCTACCCAAGGAAAAGCCTTCAGCTTATGAAGATCCTCCTCTTTACAGTGTTTGTAATGATGCAATTGTAGTGGATCCCAATTATCAGTTTGAAGAGAATAATCCTATGTCGCAGTATAGTGAAGATCAGGTGAGCTTCAATATTCATTTTTTT